ACCACTGTAATTTCCTCCCCTTGCCACCATGGCTGAGCCTTCGGGATCTTTAGGCTCAAGCATGATTCCACGGCGGCTTTCCTCAGCTCTGACAAAGGCTATGACTTCATCGGTTTGGACGGGAGCACTTGTTACAGTCACGCCGGACATTGTTAATGGAGGAAGAATAAGGCCAGCAAGAAAGGAGAATAAAGAAGGGAAGAACTGGCCAGAATAAAGGAGAATAAAGAAACACTTCTAGTTACAGATCAACATTGAAGACCAGAAAAACACAAAGAGAAAAAACTGGCAATGAAGGCCGAAAAAAAATTCTCAAGGTTGGCAAACCTAGAGCTCTGATACCATGTTTGAAATGGTAGAAAACTGATCTACTTCATTCCATTGCCAATCGACATATTTATATAGTAAGCTGCTGCAATAAATAGAAAAAAACTTTCTAAGTCAATCCCTATAATTAAGGGAATCAATCCCTATAATTAAGGGACTAACCTTTTTAATCCCCATATTTAAGGGATTATATTTTTCCACAATCCTAGGAATACATATTCACATAATTCTATTTTTACACAATTACCAAATATAAATGCTAACTACCAAATATACATCTACACCAGTAATCCCACGTTTTCCAACAGAGAGGTTTGAGGGAACCAAAAGTGGGATTGGCAGATGAACTTTTTTCTCTTCTCAGCTTAGTTTTTTTGGACCAATCTTGTCCTAATAGTAGAATTTGGACTGAAACCTCTTTAGGTTGTTTCTCTTGTTCTTCCTTTTTCAATGCTCTGGTGCTCTCTACTAACCTGGGCACCTCCTTTCCTGTTAAAGAAGTCTGGAGTGCTCCGGTACCCCCAAAAGTAAGGGCTTTTTGTTGGGAAGTGGTTCTCCAAAAAATTAATACCTTGAAGTGCTTCAAAGAAAAAGACCAAATTGGTGCTTGTCTCCATAGGTCTGTAGCCTTTGTTTGTGGAACGGTGAGATGGTGAATCACCTATCTTGTCCTTTTGTTACTCTTATATGGGATTGGTTCTCTTCTCCCTATGATTGCAGATGGAATCCTCCCTCAAGTGTAATGGATCTCTTTTTTTTTTTTTGATAAATGTGTAATTGATCTCTTTGATCCTAGCTTCTTCTGACAACCAAAGAAAAAGGGAAGGGTGATGCGGAGAGTAACGAGGGCAGCTGTTCTGTGGGCAGTTTGGGAAGAGAGAAACAACAGGATTTTCCAAGGGAAAGAAAAATCAGCTCTTGAACTTATAGAAGGGATCACCATCAATGCCATAAATTGGCTGAAAACTCTAGACTTGTTCAAGGATGTCTCTGTAGATGACCTGACTAGAGGTTGGAGTATAATAGCAGGGTCTCTACCGTACAAGCAGTTTGGTCCCCTCCTCTTACAGTGTATTGTGAAACTAAACTTTGATGGCAGCTCTGTTGGGAACCCTGGACCATCTGGAATTGGGGGTGTGTTTAGAGATGTGGGAGGCAGAATCCTGACTATGTATTCTGGTCCAATAGGATTGGGAGACTCGCTTAGAGCAGAAGTAATGGCCCTCATCCAAGGGCTCAGATTGGCTAAGCAATTGGGCATTCAACAGCTAGAAGTGGAGGGAGACTCAAAGTTAGTAGTAGTATGGTTGCAAACAAATAGTTTCGGAATGTGGTCCCTCAAACAACCTATAAGCGAATTACTGAGCCTCTCACAAGGGAGCTGGGTGCACATGTTATTTGGGCTAAGAGGTCAGCAAATGCTTTAGCTGACATTCTAGTAAAGCATGGAGTGAATCGGGTGCCTTTGTTTTGGGCTGTGTTGTAATTTGTTTTTAATTAGGGGTCACCTTGTATTTCTGTAGGTGGCAGTAGTATTTCTGTTTTTAATCTAATGAAAGTTACCTTTTCCTATAAAAAAAGTGTGAGAATGCAGGTTTGAGCCTGAGAGCAGCCACTTCATGCTACAAAATACTGAAGGTTAGGTCGATATCCTGTCCCCCCCCCCCCCCCAAACCCCAGATAGCCAGGACCAACATTGCTTAATATGGAGATGATTCCATCATTATTGATAAGATGTTCAGGACTCAATAGGGTATTCATAAAAAAAGTGGATCTCAATAAGGTGATTGAGAAAGATGTAGAGGTAACAAGGAGATTTGTTTTGTTTCTTTGGGAGGAATATTTTTGCAAGGTAAGCCTACAGATTCTGAGTCCAATGAGGAGGTTGGAGAGATTTTAAATGAGACTTCGTAGTTGGAGGGTCATGAAGTTTTATTGGGTTGGTCGATGGTGTGATAATTGAATATAGGGATACATATGGTTTTTTGCAATTAATGTTGCTGATGATTCCATTTGGAAGGATCAATGGTAGATTTCTTGATGTCACTTGGGTAGGGGAGGGGGTTTTGTTGGGGCGACAGCTGTACTTTCATATCTTTGTCTATTTGGTGGGGAGAGGAGTGATTGCTCAGGGGTGTTTAAGTTGGGTGCTCTTCTGGATCTCATTGCCTTAGTGATATCTGATCACCTGAAATTGTATTTTGTCCCTTTTCTTCCTTTCTAATTTAATTCTTACTATCAAACAACATTCGTTAATAGCCCGTTACCAGGGGGTCATGGTCTTCTTTCTCAGGCTGAAAATTTTCTTATCTTGGATGTCAAGGCCTGCAACTTCAACAGTTGATCCATTGGTTGAAGTCAGAAAAAAGTGGTTGGGGGATACAAGGGGCATTCGTATGATTGGCTGGTCGTCTCTAACATTTCCTCCTTATTTCTTTTTTTAATCACTTTGAGTGTCTTTTCCTCATTGGATGTGATCCTTTTCTTGTACTTAATATTTTTCTTAATACATCCTTTGCTCTTTTTTTAATCAGTAACTGAAAAATTTTATTAATCGTATCAGTAATACAGTATATTGCAACATAAAACACAAAGATATATAAATATACAATGGAGCTAGTTGTGCTGCTCCCCCTCTGCCCCTAATAGAGCCCCATATACAGTTTCTGATTTAGTGCAATGGATAATCAATCACTCCACACTAAAGCCTATCTCTAATACCTTCATGGGCTAGGAAATCAGTGAGTATTTAACAGATGAGGAATGGAGCCGAGGCCTTCATCCAGAGTTGTTATTGTTTATCTTGCTTCCCTTATTTGATGTCTGAGCCTCCATGGTCCAGCCACCTCATCTCCAAGACATTATGACTTTAAATCACCTTCTATCATAATACATCCTTCTTTTTGTTATCCATCCACACACACCATTAAAAAAAAAAGAAAAAAAGTTAACCAAATGGTGATATTTTAGGAACTGATAAGGTTGACTACGGCATAACCAGAGTCCAGAAACCATGTGAATAATGAACAGAACATTAATACAGTGACTATTAAGAAAAAAAGAACTAGTAATGCTGTGCTGACTATTTCAAGTCGACAGACTAGCTCTTAGGGTCTGTGTGGTTTGCTGTTGGAATCGGAATGGTCTATTCCCATAGTCTGTTTGGTTCAGACAGGAATGGGAATGGGAATTGAAATCAGCAAGAATGGGATTTCATTCCCAAGGGAGGGGCAGGGAATGGCCATTCCCTCAAATGGTGGATTGCCATTCCAGCAGGAATGGGAATGGGGTTCCGATTCTGCCCAACCAAACAGTTGGAATCAGAATAGCCCATTCCGGTTCCGATTCCAGATCCCTATTCCTGCGAACCAAATGGGGCCTTAGTCTTGTTTTCTTAAAGTTGATTATTTCTTATCATTCAATATGGGGTAAGAGAAGAAGACATCGTCAACTAAAGGTCTATTGCAATGTGATGCAGTCAGTAGTTTATGTGCTAAATATTCCACCTCTATATTTATCATTCTACTAAGTTGAACTTGTAATTTTGTAGGGTGAGCTAGCTTTAGCATTTGGTGAGTTACTTAGAAAACTATGGGCTCCTGGGCGCACTCCAATTGCTCCTCGTCCATTTAAAGCGAAGCTGGCTCGGTTTGCACCCCAATTCAGTGGATATAATCAACATGATTCCCAGGTGAATGCTTCTCATCTTGTTAAATTCAGCTTCTTAAGAATATATTACATGCAATGCAGTTTATAACTATCAAAAAAAGAATGTTAAATGCACTTTCCTTTGTACATTTTCTTGATTGTTAATTTACTTTATAAATTATGAATATAATATTTTTAGTTATGTTCCTTAGGAGCTGTTGGCCTTTCTTCTTGATGGACTTCATGAAGATTTGAATCGTGTTAAGCACAAACCTTACATTAAATCAAGAGATGCAGATGGCCGTCCTGATGAAGAAGTTGCTGATGAGTACTGGGCAAACCACATTGCTCGAAATGATTCTATAATTGTTGATGTGTGCCAAGTGAGTATAATGCACATTTTGATCTACCATATCAAATGATTTAAGTACATATTCTTTTCTTTTCTAACTTGGCAAAGGCCATATCTAATTGAGTTGTCATATGTTATTTGTCATTTGATCCTTTTGAAATCCATGCCTTTGGATTAAAATGTAGTCTTAATGGAACCATGGAAGCGAGCATATTGTGCTTATACATGGATGATCTCCATCCTAAAATTGTAATTCTTTTAGTAGTTACATGGTAGCTGCATTACCACATAATTTGGATGCTGCAGGCCTTCAGTCAAGATTTTTTTTTGGATAGATAAGGTAGGAATTTATTAATATCAATAGATGCATTACAAACAGCCCTTGGAGATGTGCGAGCTACGACCTCTCCTTAATAGGAAAATAAACAGACAGAAAAATAAACCACAAATGAAGAAAACAAATCACAATTCAGCCCAGTACAACTGATCCCTATCTGCCCCTTGTTTGGCTAAGTAATTAGACATAGTATTAGCTGATCTCCCCATCCATTGTAATCTCACATTCATGTTTCTTGTTAACAACTTGAACTTCTTGATTTCATTCTGTAGTACCAAGTTCTCCATTCTTAGCTCATTTGCAAGCTGGGTTCCTTTTACTGCAGCGAGTAATTCAGCCCTTATTGAATTTCCTACTCCCACAAGACCCTAGAATAATGCCATAACAATACCATCATTATCTCTAAGAACCCCTCCAGTTCCAGAGGTGTCTGGATTTCCTTGACTTCTCCCATCAAAGTTCAGCTTCAAGTAACCTTCAGGAGGGGGATTCCAAATCAAATTTAGCCTGTCAAGAATTATTGAATTCTGAATTTTGAATTTTACAGTGTTTGAGAGGTGCATAAGACAGTAAGAGAAGAAATGCAGGTTTTAGATTCCCCAGATTTCTTCCCAGTCTCTCTTTAAAAGATTACTCCTATATCCTTGAATTCTTATATGACTATATTTCAATCCAAAATTAATGACCAAATGTGTCACTGCTAATCGTTGGAGATATAGGTACAAATTATCCCAAGCCCCCACAATAACTACAAAGCTAATTATCCTCTGGAAAAATGTGTCATTTCTTATCAAATGAAGTTGTGGCCAAGCTAGCATTACCTCGTGGACCATTAAAGGATACCAAGGATGCATAGCCTGAAGTTTAAATAGAGAAGCCCCATATACTCAACTATTGCAGATATAGGTACAAATTCCTGCATGGAAGTGACCTCAACGAAGAATTCTTGACAACTGATAAAGAGACTCCTCTCGGAAAGTGGTGAGGGGAGAAAGGATCAATATTGGAAGTAGGAACTGGTCAGTGAACTGAGGGATGAAAGTAGAGGGCAATTGAGTTTTGGTAACATCTTGGTGAAGAGAACCATTTTGGAGAAATAACTCTGGAGATATCTACTGAAATCTCATATATTTGATATTTAGTTCCAAATTAAGAATGGACCATTTCCTAGGTTGTGACTCCTCTATCGCAAGGTTGAAAAATTTTAGCATTTGAAGCTTTGCCCTCCTTGGTGAGATATTTTCCATAAGGAAGATCTTCCTTATTAGAGAACATGGGGAGAACTGGAAAGATGGGATTTTTTTTATGAAACTTAAGGAAACGTTAAAAATAATTTAGAAAGCTAAGTGCCATAATATGATAACAATGACAAGTGTAGGGGGAAACTACCTGCTGATGGGAAGATACAATGCACTGAGCCACTGACATCCAGATTAATTTTGTTGCATCAAAGTGAAAGTAGGCCAGTTCAAATAATATAACCAAACACCTCAAGTGTTAATGCAGAATTGAGTAAAAAGCAATAACTATATTAGTTTAGATTATTATTACGTTGCAATTGCTAAGTATCTATATGTCAAACTATTGAAATCATGACATGATTAGATTACTTAAAGAATTGGCAAAGTAAAGAAAGCCTAGATAACCATGATTTTGGCACCCTATTGGATGTACCCTTTCTCATGATACATTAGTGGGATCAAGTAAAATAGAAATGGGTAGTATCCACATCACATCATAACATAATTTATTGGGTAAACAAAAATTGACAGGATCAAAACGGCTGTTGTTTGTACTGTATGGCCTAAGAATGGCAAGGAAAGCATACCAATCATTGCTGTTCATTAGATCAGAATGAAGCTTTTAGAAAAAATTACAGTGGAAGATTTTTGCTAAGAAGCTGGATTATGATAGCAGTCCTCCCATCTCACAATATTGCATTGGGCTTCTCCATCAGAAAGTGGAGTCAAATTTACACTTTGATGGCCTAGCAAGGGAACTCAGTGCCTTGTTCACATGGATCAGGAGAACTGCAAATGGGATGGCTGATTCTCTAGCCAAACAGGGAGTTCAAAGCCAACAGCTTTTCTGGGATTTATTGTAACAATTTCTCGTGCAATGTCTGTTTCTATTTGCTGTAATTTTGTATCTAATTCTCTTAATTGAATAAAATTCTCATTTTTCTGATTAAAAAAAAAAAAAAACTTTGATGGATGTAGTATAGGTAGCCCAGGAGAATCCAGAATAGGAGGTGCCTCTAGAGATCACAATGGGAGAATTATAGCATTGTTTTCTGGGTTCATAGGGGTAGGAAATTCAATCAGCACTGAGCTATTAGCAGTATTGCATGGCCTAAGAATGGCAAGGACCCTAAGCTTGAGGAAATTGTGGTAAAGGAGGAATCAAAGGTGATTCTGGTGCAAAGGCCCTTGGCAATATTGGTATTACTTGAAGGAGCTGAGAACCTTGGTTGTTGAAGTGAAGACAAGCTTTGCTTGGCATAGATCAACAAATGTGCTAGCTGATGCAATGTCTAGGCAAGAGGTGAACATGGCAGAGATGTTCTGGGGCCATTTGATGCAAGAAACGAAGTCTAGGTTGAGGAAGGAAAATGCCTCAATAGGGTGATTGACACTTACTTCTTGGGTGAAGCTCGTCATTCTGTATATACTCATTCCTTTAACATAATTAACAAAATTCTCAGTTGCCAATCAAAGAAAAATTTTGCTGTTTGTACTGCCCTCATGACTACATGGATGGTTTGTTGCTTTTCTTTTCTTTTCTTTTCTTGAGAATATGTAAAGTATGCATTAAGAAAGAAAAAAAAAACAATAAAGAGAACGTACAAGCCAGAAAGCTCAATTTGAGCTGAAACGCTTGGGGCTCATAGACGCAACTGTGCTGGACATCAACACACCCATCCCAAATGAGACAGCAAGCACACACACACAGACAAGTGAAAGATGAACTAGGAGTGTGGTTTCCATGTATTGTCCTCTTACTACGAGGCTCTTTTTCTTCTGCAATGTGTTTTTGGAATCTTGCAGTGCTGGTGAATGTTGAAACTATTGATCTTTATTATTTAGCTCTTTTATTTTTTCTGTTTTCCTTTTTTGGCTACTAGATATTGGATACCATCATGCCAATTCGTGATGACAGAACTTCGAACTCGTCCGTGAATTTATGTATCTGAGTGGTCCAAAATTTGGCAGGGTCAATACAAATCGACTCTGGTTTGCCCAGTATGTGGCAAAGTTTCCGTGACTTTTGATCCCTTCATGTACCTTTCGTTGCCACTCCAGTCCACCACTACTCGGACCATGACTGTCACAGTTTTTACTAGTGATGGAAGTGCACTTCCAATACCATGTACTGTGACAGTTCCAAAGCAGGGCCGTTGTAGGGATCTAATTCAAGCAGTTAGCAGTGCCTGTTCCTTGAAAAATGGAGAGAAGCTATTGCTTGCAGAGGTTTGTAGCAGTTAAACATTCTTGTTCTTTTGTGGAAGAGATGATATGTATATCTTACTTGGGCAGTTTGTTTGAATGTTATGTCCTTACAGGTACGTGGCCACTTAGTCAATCGGTTCTTGGAGGATCCTTTAATGTCATTGTCCACCATAAAAGATGATGACCATCTTGCTGCATATAAGATGCCGAAATTTGTTAAGAACACGGTATTTCTCCAGTTGATACACCGTCGAGAACAGTGAGTATAGTTTGTTCCATATCTTTTTTGTTTCTTTTATCCCTTTCAAGTAGTTGATCTGAATCTTATTTCTTTAATAGTCAAAGGAAATTCATTAAAAGAACAAAGAGGGAAAAGTATATGAGGATTATAGAGGCATTGTGGCCCAAGCATCACGTAGAAGACAACTCCAAAAAACACAACATTGAAAAACAATTACCATACTATCTAGTAAACTCCTCTCAGAAGTCTATGAGGATTATAGTCGCCGATACTTTTAGTAGACTCCTCTCAGAAGCAGATAGAGCCGGATCTCTAAGAGGGTGGAGAATAAGTAGAGATAGAGTTTTAGTAACCCATATCCAATTTGCAGATGACATAATAATCTTTTGTGAAGGTTGTAATTTGATGGAGATAAGGAATCTGAAGGATTTAGTAATTCACTTTGAGAGGGCCTCAAATTTAAAGGTAAATTTTGAGAAGAGTTGTGTTGTGGGAGTTCATTTGAATAGAGAGGAGATGGAGTCTATAGCAGCCTTGCTAGAATGCACCTGCTCTCAGTGGCCTCTATCCCTACCTAGGACTTCCATTAGGTGCAAATCCAAAGGAAAGTAGGTTCTAGAACCCGGTGGTGGAAAAATTCGAAAAAAGATTGGCAGCTTGGAAGAGAAACTATATTTCAAAGGGGGGTAGGGTTACTTTGATTAAAGCAGCTTTAGCCAACTTGCCTTTATATTTCCTGTCAGTCTTTAGAATTCCTAAAAGGGAGGCAAAGAGGTTGGAAAAACTGATGAGGGATTTCTTATGGGAACCTGGGGAAGAGAAAAAAGATCACTTGATTAGGTGGGAGGTGGTGTGTCGGAGCAAGGAAGGAGGCATAGGATTAGGGAATGTGGTAAGTAAGAATGAGGCTCTTTTAGGTAAGTGGCTTTGGAGGTGGTCCCTGGAGAGGGAGAGGTTGTGGCACGAAGTAGTGAAAAGTATCCATGGCTGTTCTGAATCAGGTTGGGATGCATCCCAAAGGGCTTTGCTCACAACACCTTGGAAGGCTATCTCTAGCATTCTCCCTAAATTCCTCAGTTCTGTAAGGTACGATGCTTGCTTTGGAAACTCTTTTCTTTTTTGGGAAGATACTTGGGTGAGCACTCAACCCCTAAAAGACCATTTCCCTTCTCTCTATTCCATCTCCCTCTTTAAAAAGAAACCCATTTCTTGGTTCCTTCCCCCCCCCGGTTTGCCCTTTGGCTTTAAATTGGGATTTTGGGTTTCGAAGAGGGTTAAGAGATGAAGAATTTCTTTGCGTTTCAGAGCAGTTGTTGCTTCTAGATTCAGTGTGTTTGGACCCCCTAACCCGGATAAAAAAAGTCTAGTCCCTAACCCCTATTGGCTCATTCACTTGTGCTTCTTTCTTTAAAGCCCTTTGCTCCAACCCCTCTTCTCAGGTCTTCCCCATTAAAGAGGTTTTGTCAAGACCAATTCCCCCCAAAATAGCTGTATTCTATTGGGAGCCTATTATGGTAAGATCAATACTGTGGAAAACTTGCAAAAGAAGAAATCTTTTATGTGTTTGTCCCCTAATTGGTGCTTTCTGTGTAAAGTGAAGGGTGAGGACTGTAACCATTTGCTGATATCATGCTCCTTTGCTGCCAATATTTGGAACTGCGTTGTTTCATTATTTGGGTGTAGGTGGAATTTGCCCTCTAAAGTAAAGTTGTTCACTCCGGCTGCTTTTGGGAGATTGACAAAAAGAGGGAAGTTAATGTGGAAATGTATTAGAGCTGCTACGTTGTGGACTGTATGGGAGGAGAGAAATGCTAGAATATTTCAAGAACAGGAAAGAAGTCTTGCTGAAATCAAGGAATGCATATTGACAAGGACTATCTCATGGTTAAAATCTTTACACTTGTTGGCAAATTACTCCTTTGATGACTTAGGGAGAAATTGGGCTGCAGTGGCTGCTACAGTCTCCACCAAGATCAAATCACAAGTTGAATGGAATCCCCCACCGGATGGTGTGGTAAAATTGAATTTTGATGGAAGCTGCCAAGGTAACCCAGGGTCATCCGGAACTGGTGGGATTCTGAGAGACAAAGACAGTAATATGTTGTCTCTATTTTCAGGACCAGTGGGTGAAGGTGATTCAGTAAGGGCAGAGCTACTAGCTGCGGTACAAGGTATACAGATGGCTAGTCAAATTAGAGTGAACAATCTGTTAGTAGAAGGGGATTCCAAGGTAGTAGTAGGCTGGCTGATTAGTCCAGAAACAGCTTGTTGGGGCTACAGGGATCTGTTAAAGAAAGTTAAGTGGATGACAAGGAATATGACTGTCAGGTTTCAGTGGGTCATAAGATCAGCAAATGCAATGGCTGATTCTCTGGCCAAGCAAGGGGTGTCAAGGGGAGATCTGTTTTGGGCTACTTTGTAATTGTGTCTCAGGCTTGGGCAGTTTTGGTGTATATGGTTCAGTCCTAGGGGGGGGGGGGTAACATCTCATGCATCCTCCTAGGCTGATTGTATTTTTGTTATTTGAATTAATAAAACTACTCTCATTTATCAAAAAAAAAAAATACTACACTATCTACATGGGCCAGATACATCTCATCTCCCAAAAGATCTTGAGCTCATAAGCACCCAAAAGACAACTGTACACAAACCAGGACCTACACTAATCTTGATATCAAAAACAGAGTAAGAGGCCCATCATTCCAAGAGATTTATCTAGTTACAGATTCTATCCACCAACAAACTGACTGACCCATCCTAACTAAAGCACTTCACCCATACCTGACCTACTGCAATAGACAAAAAGCCTGAGAAAACCAAAATCCAGCCTCTTTATTCATCTAAATCCTCACAGAGATTATCTTCAGGATAACAATTTACATCTACACCTGAAGAAGCAGAATTATCAATGTGATTTCTTGATTATAATTTGACAAATGCTCTTCTAGCAAATTCCTTTCCACCCAGAAGGAAAAGTCCCAAGCTCTTACTGACTTGAACTTCCTTCTCAATCACCCTTCATAACTCCACCTCACTCTTTGCTTGAGGAGTTCCTTCTTTTTGTGCAATGAGATCATCATCAGAAATCTGCTTTCTTTCCTCAAAATTATTCTTGGTAACATCTCCACCACCTTGGCAGCTTATGAATTCAGCACTTAGGAGCTTTAGGGGCCATTTGATAACTGCTGAAAAAACTTGCCTGAATATGTTGATTTTCTATGTTTCGATGAAGTTTATACATTTTTTTTTTGTGGAGATTATAGAAAATTAATAGTGAAAGATGGTTGACCTAGGAATTGCTCTAGGATTCATGGTTTTTATCAATGCTTTAAAAGGCATAGGCAGTGTATGCCTGGAGGCACTCCCAAAACACCCTGAGGCGTATGCCAGAGGCACTGACACCTCTGAGGTGTACGCCTCATGCACTTTTTTCGTGAGGCGTGCTAGAGGTGTATGCCTCATGCACACCTTATATAAAACAAAGCCCCTTCGGCTGAGGGGCTTCCTCCTCCTTCCTCTTCCTTCCTCCTCCTTCCTCCTGACCCCCCTCCTCTTAAGGAGGCTTACACGTCCTTGTGTTCGGGAGGTTTATGCCTTTTACGTTCTGAACTACCCCTCACGCCTCTAGGTAGTGGAATGCCTCGCGTCATGCCTCCGCATTTTAAAACATTGGTTTTTATTCAAGAAAACCCATCGCCTATGTGACTAGGCAAAATTTAATAGTGAAAGATGGATTTTATTAGAAAAGTCATCACCTAGACTCGCCTCGATGCCTTGAAAATTATGCTCCAAGGGTCCACTATCTTTCTTTGACAATTAAGAAATACAAAGATAGTTTAACTTGTGGAGCGATTAGTTCACATGGTTACAACACTTTCTTCTGACCCTCCGATAAACACATGTTATCAACCAAATGAAAAACCAAATCACCTAGTGAGTGCTTGCGTGGGTGATTTGGTTTTGATGTGTTCATATGGTCACAATATTTACTTGCAACCCTCTAGTGAAACACACAAATGTTATTAATCAAACGAAAGACCTAATTATCTAGTGAGTGCATCTTTCTATTGCTACCCAAGTGACATACTAAAAACCTGCTAACATATGAAAAAATTAGAGATTGCCTCTAGGGTCTTTTACCTTACTATGACAATTTAGAAGTACTAGGGTGACCTAACATGTTAAACAATGAATTCACACAACCACAGCACTTTCATGCTACCCTCCAATGAAGCATAACCTTACTGTCAATCAAATGAAAAACCAAGTCACTGAATGAGTGCATGCCTAGGGACTCTAAAGTGGTAACTGGGTAGCTGAAAGAACTGGAGACAGTAGCTTGGTCTTTTAGGGGAGAGATGAGGAGATTCAGGTGGCTTACTTCTAATCTCACTGTGAGAGTTCAGTGGGAGAGGTGGTCGGCAACTGGACTGGCTGACCTACTAGCTAAGCAAGGGGTGAACAGGGATCACTTATTCTGGGATCAATTGTAATTTTACTTTGTATGTAAGGCAGCAACTCGCGCCTTCTGGGAGAACTCTGTTTTTGTAACCAATTGTCAGTGTGCTTTATACTTTAAACTTTATCTTAATAAAATTCTTCATTACTCATCAAAAAAAAAAAAAAGAATGAATGCATGCCTAGGTGATATGGTTTTGATGAGTTCACATTGGTCAAAATACTTTCTTGCAACCCTACAATAAAACATAAACATGATAGCAATCAATCGGAAAATCAAATCACCAATGAATGCATGCTTTTTTCCTACCCCAAATGATACAAAAATAACCCACTAACATATAAAAAAATAGAGACTACCTCTAAGGTCTACTACCTTACTATGACAATCAAGAAATGTGAAAGTAGCCTAACATGTGTTGTGATGTGTTCACATGGTCACAATACTTTCTTGTGTGACCTAGTAAAACACTACCATGCTATTAATTAGAAGAAAAACCAAATCACCCACTGAGTGCATGACTGGGTGATTTGATTTCGATGATTTCACATAGCTACCA